TTCATTCCCTGTGGTGGCATTTTTTTTTTGCCGCCGCTGCACCCACTAACAAATATTGTACACTTGACCTTGATCAAGAGCAGCTGTCCTTTGATTTACTTCCATGCATATCATCTTTATTCAATACATCTCACAGTGAACTTGGGCATGAACTTGAACAGGGACTTGGAGGACTTGGCCAAGTACCTGGTACTTGGCCAAGTCGACCCACCCGACTTGGCCAAGTCCATTGGACTTGGGGTACTTGAGGTACTTGGGATACTTGAGGTACTTGGCCAAGTACCCCAAGTACCTGTACAAGTCCGTGACGTTTTCCTGATGAGCGCGTCCAGATGGCGGAGTTGAGCACCGAAACCACGCAAGAGATGTTCGCGAGGGAGAACATGCCAGTAGACGTTGAGAACATGAAGGCATGTACTTCGGTTCGACTCAATCGGATGTGTGCTGATGGGCCTGACGCTCCCTGTGTATTCTCGCAAATACAGTGGTTCACTACGCAGATGCAGGGCAGATACACAGAGTAAAGTATTGTTCCGATGCAGCTCGCATCTGCGTATATTTTGTACGCCGTTCACTGTGGGATCGGTCACTCGTATGATGAGTTCACCCGGTTGTGGGCGAATGGCTACAAAGCACAGCGTTTCAACGGAGACCTGAAGCCGGGGACTGCCTGGAGAGTAGACCTCGCGCACTTGCACTGTCCACGAAGTCCGGACAGATAGCTCACGCCCTGTACATCGGCCCTGGGAGCGGTTATCGACGAAGACCGCGCTTTGGGTGGTCTCAGTTTGGAGAGTGTCTGCGAGGCCCCAGAAGGGCTCATCATATTCCATAGAGGCGAACGAGGGCGGGTGGCGCGGGTTGGGTCCTCCGCCTTCTGCCAAAGGACACAGTGGTGAGGACAAAAGGTGATACCTTCAACAAGTACAGCAGCAAAACAATGATGATACTGGGGAAGTCGTACTAGACCCGAGCAGTACCTGATCGCAGATGAAACATGCGGCCCGGTCAGTGGCGTGACGGCACGCGAGAGGTTGTGCGTTCGGTACAAAAATGTAGCGCGTCGGAGACACAGGCTCGGAACGGTTCACTCACATAGCTGAGATCCGGAAGACAAGTTCCACCAAACCCAGAGGCGGGTGCGGGAAATGCCACGACAAAGCTTCAGTTGGTCATTCCAAGGGAGCTGATAAGCAGATCGTACTATTCGTGCATATAGATACAACGTATAATAATGCAGACTGAAAAAAACTGCATTGTGAGAAGAGGTATATACGTATAAGCACAGATAGCGAAATGATTTGGGAGAACCGGCATCAAGGGCTATTGCACAATACAACCGGCGAATCGGCATGTTTATGCACTCGTCACCAAGTGATGGTACAGACGAGGGACCAAATTTAGGGGGCAATACTGAACTTGTGGCATCTACAGTGTGAGGGAAGCCAGGAGAACATCTAGTACTATCAGAAGACGTCAGAGCGGGTCGAGGGATCAAAGGACAGAAGCACTCACCGCCAGCCTGCGGTCTAAGTACCATTCGAGCTGAAACTCGTCAGGAAGCTCCATGTTGTCCAGCAAATTGCAGGCCTGGCGCCACATCTGGTCCGTGATGCGAGGGATCTCGTGGTTCGAAAAAAAGGTCATGATGGGGACGTCATGTCCCCACACATCGATCAGATCTACTTTCAAACCCGTCTTCATCTCAAACCAATCCGTGAATCTGATCCACGTTTCGAATATGTCCAGGTGCCCCTCCTTCATGTGGGCGCAGGTAAACTTGAGATAGGCGGCGAGACCGACACGTTCTGCGTACTTGAAGACAAGGCCGGGCAGGAATTCTACTCCGTACCAGCACAGAGGAAGCTTCTTGGGGTCGTCCACATCTACGTGGAGGGGATCGAGCCAGGGAGGTATAGCAGCCTGTGGGAGAGTATTCCGTACTAGTTTCTCCTGCGTTGCTTCGTCAGTTGTGTCAGAGATGGGAGCAGGCAGAGGCTACGACTGACCCCCCATACAAACTCGTGCAATGGCAGCAGTGGATATTCGGTGTCAGGTACTGACGAGGACGTTTTGGCGGTTGTAGAAGCAGACGAGACACCCGTGGTCGAAGAGGGAGTGATGCCAGTGTCGGAGGACCCTTCACCGGCATCGAATGGGAGCGAACTGCACGATCCGAGTGCCTCTGCGTCAGGGGTTAAGCTCCTGGGCGGCACAGACTTAGAAAGTACGGGCGTCGAGTTTGAAGCTGTGGCCGTCATGACGGTGGCCGACAAAAGGCGACTTTGCAGGGCAGCGTACCAAACGGTCCCCAAGCCGCGAAGCAGCGGTCTTTCGCTCGCGGCTTCTCCCAAGATGGCGAACAAAAGCAGCGGCAAGCCCGGTGAGAGTCCGAGTCGAAACTGGAGCTGAGCTTCATTTGAGTCGCGTCGGGGGCGGATCAAACGCGACCACGTGGTCCGGCTCAAGGCGCGATGCTCCAGCGCCTTGGCACCATGTATGGTACTGACTTCCAGTCATTGCGACGATACGCTGACAACTGATGGCACTCAGTGCCATCTCATGAACCCTTTGCTAATTCATGCACTCAACAATGTGCATCGTCGTCATGTTCTCACTGCTGCGGCTTCAAATTCATAAATTGCATGTAGCTACAGACTTGGCGGGGTTCATCCGACTACCAGCTACTCAAGTCAACGTCCGACTCAGAATCACGATGGCTGAAGGAAACTCACAGTATCTGACGTCTTCAGTCAGCGCCCATTTCTCGCTCAGTGGATGAAAAAACCTGTGGAACTCGTCCGACCAGGAACCGTCAATACTACACGATGGAATGGATTCGTGAGCAGGATGTTCTCCAGCGCTGCGCAGAGCTCCACGTTGACAGTCCGACAGCATTCCTTGTATAGGGCATCAACGGTGTGATACCAGAGGACTAGAGTGACATCTATGATCGCTATTTGTTTCGACCTAGGCAAGACGTGGATGGCATGTTGGAGCTTCCGAGTCTCGGCCTGTATCCACCATGTTAAGTTGAGCTGTTCCTGGCTCTGTATGTCGACATTGGTGAAGAGAACGAAGAGTCTACGAGGATGGAGCTGGCTGCAGGTGGGAGCGCAATCGGAGCACAGCGTGGCCTTGTCGCCGGAGCTGAGATCGATGACCCTTTCGATGAGCTCCCATGGAAGCGCCCGAGACCGGTGTGGGGTGGATGAACCGAAGTGAAGGGGAGCAGGGAGTTTGCGAGGTCGTTCGCGGACAAAATGAGCTGTCGTAGGGCATTCGTCGTTGGTGAATGATACGGTGAATCGAGATGCGCTAGGGTTAAGCAGCATTAAGGGGTTTAGACTCGGGTGATGTACACAGGCGCTAATTTGAAATGGGACTCCTCCGAGCCGCATCTCTCTTCCACATTCCCGGACGTCCAATCCTCCTTGGAATGCGTACATAAATGGGTAATAGTCATGACCTGCTGGACCACTACCAGGAACGTGACCCCAATCTCATAGATAATCGTATAATCGGTCTGCGAGAGTCTCGCACCCCGAGACACAAGGACAATGTCGGCGGAATGGGGAGATCCGCTGGTTCCGCTGGATGGTCGGGATGTTAATGTGCAATGTGTCTATATACCACCACGGCAGTGAACATCCAGATGATCGTGTACAATAATCGTGATATTGAAGGCACGCGTGCGGCGCCGCTGTGGAGCTTGTTGAAGCTGTGCCCTGTCACCACATCCAGCAGTTTGTCGTAATCGGGTGTACCCAAGCCAGTCACCTGGGTCCACATGTCAGCGGGAAAAAAAGCCATGTTCACGCGTGAACGCAAACGCACCGCGTCCCAACCGGTGTCCGCGTTGAAACCGCCCGCGTCGCATCGTGCGTCGCCGTTGTCGCCTTTCGTGACGTCGTTGAACGCCGCGACGCCCTTCGAGTACAGCATCGGGTTCAGGAAGCCAAGCGGGCTCTTGCCGGACGCCAGCAATCGGTCGTTGATCAGCGCAACGATGCTGGCGAAGGTCGGGCTGGAGGCGCTCGTCCCAGAAAAGCCGACCCCTTTCCCCGCGACGTTGATAGCAAAGTTAACTCCCTGAGTCGCCACGTCGGGATACGCGCGCCCACTGGAGTTATACAGGCCAGCGTTCGCATTCCTTTGTTTGTCTAGGAAGGCATTAGCGGCGCTATCCTGGTAGGAAGGTCGGGGGAAGAGGTTGGAGAAGCCTCCAGATGAGAATGATGCGGCGACCTCTGGACTGATGTCGTCCGTAGAGCCAACAGAGGTGACACTAAGTAGGCAGGATTGTCAACCTCAGATCAGTATGGTCGATTTGGATCTCATCGGGGGCACTCACTAGGGACACGTAGACGGGAAAGTGGGAATGAATACCTTTTGGCCGCAGCCGTCGCTTGCCGACATACCTCCAGCAGCCCCACCGTCGCCTGCAGCGAAGATAACCGAAGTCCCTCGAGCGCCCAGTTGGGCATAGGCGTTGCAGATTGCTCTGGAATGCAATCAACGTCTTCCAGCTCCAGCTAACGAGAGGTAGGACGTACCGAGCCATTTGCTGGAGATCTTGATCATCAGCCGCCGGCTCGTCGAATACGTAGCTCGTCGTCAGCACCAGCGGCGGCTTCTCTAGCGATAGGAGGAAGTTAGCCGTGTCGAGCAGGTCGCTCATCAAGACGCCGTTCTCCTTGTCTCCAGCGACCACGTATGTCACGGGCACGTTCGTTGCGAGCCCCACGGTGTACTGCGTGTCACAGTTCTATATGCGCCAGGTGAATGACGTATGCGATGATCGTCTAAGGGATCAACCTACTCCTTCGTCGTCACCAGCGTCCGTGTTCTGGCTTTCGGTAATGGGGAGGACGGCGAACGACCCATGCAGTATATCTGGTCTGTACTTCGTAAGGAACGTCTGCAAAGAGAACGGGATTCAGCTTGACAGCGGTTTGTCGGTCATCGTAAACCGACCTGCAAATCATTCGGATTGGCCCCTGTTCCCCCTAGGCTGCTCACGTACAAGTTGTTGCCGGAGGCGTTGGCTGGTAAGGATGGGATGCCGTACAGCGCCTGTAGACACTTTGGGGTGACGACGCCCGTGCATGAGGTAGAGAATGCGGACGCTTGATTAGTCTTCCTCAACCCGGCCTGTCGATCTAAACGCTTCATGGGCGGTGTCTGGCGGCGCGCAGGAGGGTCGAATCTACACGTGTTTAGCACGCAGTCCGGCACCGGCATGATGAAAGTTGGAGTCCGACGCACTGTGTTGTAGGATATACGAAGGCTATGTGGTCATACAAATAGGCAGGTAAGGAGTACGATAGGGTTCGAATTATGGTCGTGTTTGTCGTGTTGTGCGTGTACGCGGTGAAGTTGGCCGCAAGCAACGCATTCGCTCGGACCGGGGAGACGACAATAGAAAGGGTGTCGCCCGAGTGAGAGCGTTGTTCCGGCGTAATCCCATAGCATCCGAGCCAATCGGTAATGGCCTTGACGCTCTCCGGATCCGGCGACGACAGTTGGGCTACCTATGACCGCAGCGTGGAGTCACTTGAGGTGCAGACCGAAGGAGCTGAGCCGAAACGACGCACCTCATCTTTTGTTAGGTGGCGGCCATAGTTGGAGCTGGAAGGATCACTGACGTCTAAGAGTGTCGCGTGTAGGCTAGAGGCGTCTTTGGGTGGGACGCCAACAGTCAGTCGAATGACGTCGTCTCCAGGTACCCATAGCTCCGATGGTGAGTAGCCGGAAGGGATGGAGGGAAGCTGGATGCGAGGTATGAGATCTGAGCGTGGAACAGTGCCACCCAGAACATGCGAAATGAGAGACGGGAAGAGCAGGCCAGCCGCTAGCATGGCGGGCGCTGAAAGTACGCCAAGATTGAAGAGGTACTAGCAGGGAAGGGCCAAGTCCCGATGTTGCAGAAGCAAGGAGCAGATTAAATGTCCAGCGAACCCAAGAGCGATGCTGGCCATGTACACGGCTCAAGCCTTGCGTAGGTAGACTCCTGTCAAGCTGTTAAGTACCTCCGATCCTGCTGGTGGCTTCCGGCGCGTCTCCTGTGGGCGTCGGAAGGTCCTTGTCAGCGCGCGAAGGTAGATGACGTGCAGTGCAAGCGACCACTAACTGGCTGCGACCCGTTTGCTGTAGTGGTAGGAGAGAGGTCGTGGCCCGTTTTCCAGAGTACTTGTAATGACTCCCGGGGAAGCGCAGAATGGAGAAAGCCGCCTCTCTTGGAGCCGGACGCGGGGCTGGTGTCATGGAGTGGGACGAGATGAGAGGGAACTGCGCGACAGAGCTACCGCTTTCTACCGCCAAGGACGAGGACAGGGAAGTGAGCGATGCGCTGAGAAGCAATGTCGCCGCCGAGGCTACATTATTTCAATAGGAGACATGTTACTTGAGACGCTACGTGAAGCGCTGTTTAGGCCACAAAATGCCGAGCCGACTAAGCGCGTTGGGAAGGAATGCTGTATACCTGAAATGCTAGCATATATTGGCTTGCGCATGCAACACCCCCTGTAGAACATCAGCATCGACTGCGGTCATGTGAGAATAACTGACGAACCTGTGCTCTCGCAAGGCGAGGTCATGAGGAGCAACTGAAGAGGCATCTGGGCCATGAGATGGAGGTATAACGGCCAGCGAAGAGGGCGTCCCGAATACGACAACGACGTCGGAAACGGGCAACTATAAGCTATTAGGGATATACACGACAGGCATCAGCCAATGTTCCGGACCCGAACTGGGACAGAGAAATGGCCTGGGAATGGATGCCTGTCACAAGTAATGTCTCAAAGCCTAGCTCTGGACCTGAGCCAGCGGGCGCTAAACCCCCTGAAAAGGAATACCAGTGCTGACAAAGCGCATGACATAAGCGTTTAT